ATCGTGATTCTTATTCTTCCCGCTTTACACTTTTCCCCATTCGTTTGTTATTTTTCTAAAAAAATAAAAATAAAAAAAAAAAAAATTGATTTGATTTTTGTTTCTTTCTCCAAGTTATGTTTACCTTGAACTGACCACCACCTGCTAACCAAAAATAATTTTTAATCTATTTCAAATAGTCTTTAAGTACCAAAATGCCCTTGCCATTTTGATTTGGTTCTGTAGTGACGCAAAACTAACCTCGTCAATTATAAGTTATTTTATTTTATTTTATTTTTTAAAATAACGTTCTTATTTTGTTTTTCCCTCACGAGAATTGAGAACAAAAGAGATATATTCTTAGGATATGTTTGGTAAAAGAGAGATGGAGGAAGAGACATAGGTAGAGGGAGATGATAAATCTGTTATTTGGTTAGAGAGAGTTGAGGAGGGAAAAGAGATTTGAAAGGAGAGAGTATCTTTTTGGGCCAACCATTTTAAATCATTCATTCAACAAATTCATCCTTCAAAATAAATGATTAACAAATAATAAAATAGATAATATGGTAATTTGATAAATAACTATTATTCATCCTTTTAACGTTCTCTTCCTTCACCAAACAACATAAAGGATACTATAATCCTCTACATCCTTCTAACTTTTCATCTTTCATATCAAACGGAGCTTTAGTTAAAATTTAATGGAAACTGAATATTTACTTGATTTTAAATCAAAATTATCCGTGTACAAAATCACTATTTAGAAGTTTATATGCACTAGAAGTGCAATGACTGAGGAGGGAAAAGAGATTTGAAAGGAGAGAGTATCTTTTTGGGCCAACCATTTTAAATCATTCATTCAACAAATTCATCTAATTTTAAATTAGGGGCGTTTAGTAGAAGGATTCGTTCCCTGATTCGAATCATGATTCGTGGTTCACTGCAGTATTTTTTCTCACAAAAAATACACGTAAATCGAAAATGATTCGAATCACATGGTTTAAATCCTCCAACCAAACGAACCCTTCTTTCATCCTTCAAAATAAATGATTAAAAAATAATAAAATAGACAATATGGTAATTTGATAAATAACTATTATTCATCCTTTTAACGTTCCCTTCCTTCACCAAACAACATAAAGGATACTATAATCCTTTACATCCTTCTAACTTTTCATCTTTCATATCAAACGGAGCTTTAGTTAAAATTTAATGGAAACTGAATATTTACTTGATTTTAAATCAAAATTATCCGTGTACAAAATCACTATTTAGAAGTTTATATGCACTAGAAGTGCAATAACTGAGAAAATCTTAGAATTAAATAATATAATTTACATATTTAAATCAAGGATTTTCTTAAAAAATATCACGTGTTAATTTTGTGAATAAAGGATTTATGGAATTAATATTAATATTCTAAAATACTATAAGAAGTTTTTAAGTTAAATTCACTTTTCATGATCAAGTAGTTCGGTTGATAATTCTCACAGTGATTTAAGGCATAAAGAATTTTAATCCAAAAATAACTTAATAATTTTAATTGGAAAAATTTCTAAGTATAGTACAGTGTTAGCATTGTACTGAGAAACATTCTAACACTCAAGTAGCTCTTAATTTTCAAATTAGTTCAAACATTTTCGATAAAAAAAAATGCTATCCGAGCTCGAGAATTGACATTGTTAGTAATTATGTCATTTTCGGTGTAAAATGCAGAAAAGTCAAGTTAAGATTTTAATTAGTCTATAAATAATTTTTAGACTTGAAACAGTCTGATTGTTTACACGATTTAGATTTGAAATCAGCATTAAATTACTCATAGATTAACATAAGAATGTAAGTAGTTAATTAATTTATATAAGCTAAGCTAATTATCTCCAATCAGTTAAATTTTATCTGTTTGGAGAGAATCTTTGAGAATAAGATAAAAGGACAAGATTTGTCACTGATTTAACGTGGTAGGTGAGGAAATTATTAGATGCTTCTCATTTCTCTCTCTTCCCTTACATTTTCACGTCACACTCTCTATTTCTTCTCTCTCTACAACAACCGGCCATGATATCTGATCAGGATTCTAGTATCATTTTTCAATAGCTCCCTCACTATCGCGAAGTTTTCGATGAGTTGAGCACAAAGACATATAGTACGACCTCTTATTCGGTCAGAAATAACACCACTCGCCGGAAAAAGAGTTGAGAATACCCATATCTTTTCAGAGTGATATCTTCGCCATCCGTTCTCTGATTGTGGTGATTTCAGTTCCTACATATTTAGAACGAAGAGATGATGAAAACCCATACTTTTTCACAGCTCAATTTTGGTTATAGCACCGCCGTTTGTGGTGGCTGAAATTGCCGCCGCCGTCGTGGATGTCACTGCCCCACCTATCAACTCAAAAGCCGACACCCAATAGATTCTGATCAATAGCCACTATTGCTGTCGTTGTTTTGTCAGAATTCAAAGAGGACCGCTGCCATCACGTGGTGGAAGTTGGTCCCAGCGATATTGACTATTGGATCGTCATGATTTTAGTGTCAAAACACTCATAAGGAAGTGGATAACGAAAGCCCTCATCCAATTTTGAGGTTTAATCGCTGGAGAATTAAGAACCAAGTCACTGACCTTCGTTGATCCGAGACCATATATGACTTGTTTTAATGTGATGAATGCAACGGTGACATCTGTTTGGCCAAATTTAACTTTGAAAAAAATGGTATGATATCGGCTGCATGCAGATCGAGGCGATTCAGATTGAATGAATAAAGTTCAGAATCAGGTATCCAATGCTTCGATGGTCACTAAGGATCATTCATAGTGGTTGAGGTTTCTCCTAGAACCAATTTCAAGGAAGTACGTAGTGGGACACGACATTGAGGTACTACCAGAACTACTTAGCTCGGAATCGAGACAAGTACAAACCTTGCTTACAGTATAACTAATGACAAGTAATTTAAAGCGTATGATTTCCATGAGATACGTTAATTATGAAATTCACCAGTTATGTTTATGCTCATGTTATAAGCCGTATAAGGTTTTTATAAAACTTAATGATTTTCAAATAAACGTTTAAGCAAGAAATCCTAAAAGCCGATATGCTAGACCCTTAATTTTACGACGTTAAATACGAGTCTCAACACTATTATGAGCCCATCAAGTGCGATAAAGTGAAGTTTATTAAAAGTGTAATTTATGGATAATAATTTAACTAATTATTAAATTAATTAATTAAATTATCTTAGACTTAGAATATGAGTAAGGAAGTTAATTAATTATTAAAATTAATTAACTAAATTATGTAGATTTAGTATATGAATAAGATGGTTAATTAATTACTAAAATTAGTTAACTAAATTATTAGACTTATTATATGGATAAGAAAATTAATTAATTAATTATCAATTTAGCACAAATTTGTAAAGACAATTAAGGAAGATAAAATTTTAAGTTAAGTTCAAGATTATATAGTTAAATAATAGCCACGTAAGCAGGGTCGTTACAAGAAGTCCCTTATGCTAAAGTCTATGTGTTTGTTTGGTTTATGAGTTCAAATTAGGTGATTTAAATTAGAGTGTAAATTTTTAAAATTTTTATGAGAGAAAAACTATAATAGAACTTTTTATTCATTTTTTAAAGAAAAAACATTGTAACGTAATTTTAAACCGTTATTTAAATTCCTCTGTCAAACAAGCTCTACATTTCGTAAACTAACAATATATTGGAATGAGGTTTAATCACTTTTTAGATTCCCGTTGGTTAGATTAATGGAGAAAGCTTTAAAGAATAGATTGAAAGGATTATAACAACTTTCAAATTGTTTAGTAGGAGAGATGAATAATTAAAATTATAAAAGATAATTATTTATCTAATTATATATTACTAAATTTAGTAAACTTATCAGTATTGATTTTTAAGTAAATAAGTGATTAATGATTATATATGAGACCTACTCTTTGTTTCTCCTTTTCTTTTCATGCGAAATATCACGCTCATGAAGAATTGGTATTCAAACATCACACTTATGCGAAAAGTTTAAGCATTTGTTTGTTTTATAAGTTTAAAGCATGTTAAAAAAAATTTTGCTACTACTTTTCTCCCAAATATTTAAACAAAATTTACAATTTTATTATAAATATTTATACAAATCTACAAACTAAAAAGGATCATATGATAATTTACATATAAAAACGGTATTAATAAATAAATATACTTAACACTATTCACTTGAGAATCAAAATCAAGGGCATTTCATGTAAATAAAAAAACAAGAACATTTATACACATTGTAACTATTTATGTAAAAATGTGATTATTTAAGTTAAATTTCAAAAATCATTCGTCAATTTTACTGTAAGGGACTAAACTGCTAAAAAATGAAAGTTCATAGACTTTAGGTCTTGTTCGTTTCGCTGGTTCGAGCTATAACTTAAGTTTTTATACAATGTTCTCTCTCTTATAAATTTGAATTCAACTTTTTCTATTACAGTATTTTTTCTCATATTAATTTATTTTTAACTCAAGTTCTTAACTCGAGCGAGCGAAACGAATTGGGCATAAAACTAAAAGTTCAAATATTAAAATGTCCTTATGCTCAAAATTTAAGGACTAACATAGTAATAATCCTTTGCAGCAAAAAAAAGGGCTAAACCCAAAAAAAAAAAAACAAAGGACAAGTGTGAATAAAAACAAGGTACGTTTAGTTTGCTGATTCAAGTTTTTAATTCGAATTGAGATGTGATTTTATGTGAGAGCTTTTTACTGTAGTAGAAAAATTAAATGTAATTATTTATGAGAGCTTTTTATTGTAATAAAACTTAAATTCTAAACTTGAATCAGTGAAAAAAATGAGATTTGTATAGATTTTACTGTATTCACACGTGACATGTGAGAATCAAAATCAAGGATATAACGTAAATAAAAAACTCCAAGGAAATTTCCGTCAATTCATCGTGACAGCAGCAACCGAAATAAATAAATGCTCCCGGGATGAAGGGGGGAAATAAAAAATAATAATAAAGGTAGAGATAGAGAGAGAGAATATGAAAAGAAAGCTGATGAAGGCGATGAAGAAGAATTCCACAACCGCAGCAACAACAACAATAAGTCGCCGTACAAATGGAATCATCGGCTTTCTTCTTCTTAACCGCAACCACTCACCCTCTTTTCCACGTTCCAATTATTGCCACAATTCTTTCCATTTCTCTTTCCTTTCTTCCTCTCCACCACCACCACCACAATCACAACCACTTTCTCTCTCTTCCCCAACTTCCCTAACTCTCTCTCTCTCCTTCGCTGCGATCTTCCTCTTCGTGCTGGTCTTGATCCCCATCCCGATTCGCTCCGATCGGTTCGCCATACTTGTTGTGGTAATTGTTCTCTCTCTCTCTCTCTCTCTCTCTCTCTCTGTTGGTTTGGCGAGAAAGAAAAAGTTTCGAATGGTTGCTGTGATTTTCCGATGATCGTGGTGCGGTTTCTGTAGGGATATGTTTGGAGGTGATAACATAGATAGCAGTCCTGTGTTTTCTGCTTTCGTTGAGGAGAATCGGTTGCAGTACGATGCCAATGCTTTTCCTCAGCTGCAATTGTTTGGAGAGCGTGAGTATTGTGTTTTCCGAAGAACTTTGCTTTCATCTTTCGTTCTGTAGTTTTTATGATTTCCGGTTCGGTTATGCTTTCTTGACGATTTATGGCTGTGTTAAAAGGGATAAACAGAGTGATTGTTTGATTAGGTTTAATATTAAGAAAAATATGTTATTATTGTGTTTACAGATAGATTATGCGGCTAGATCTTTGGTAAAATAGATAATATGATGAATGAAACTTTGCTTCTATAAATATCTACATATTTATGTTGGTGCTAGTCGTCTCTTGCTTAATCTAGTCGGGTGGAGAAATAGAGAGAAGAAAGAGTATGGACATTTTCACAAGTAGTTGATGTCTCTAGCTTAATTTGATTTAGTTGGGGAAAAGAGATTTGTAATAATACTTCAAACTCTATAACCAGAGTTCTGTTTGTCCGAGTAATGATTATAATTCTTGGACTTCTATGTCGTTATCTGCTTACATTTCCTATTGATTGTTGATTTTTTATCAAAAAAAGTTGTTAGCTTTACTTTGCCAGTGTGTTTCGCCGACCACCAAACTGCGTTCTTTTTAGTTGAAATTATTTAGTATCATGACAATGTTAGAGCGCTGTCATAAGGGTTGTATCTTATATGCAACTTTTTTGGATCTTATGTTTCCTCTAAGCTGCTTTATCCTCTGGTGAAGAGCCACTATGATGTGTGGATCACGTGAGTTATCTAATCTCTTTTGGTTGGTTTTAGATTGTTTATGAAATCTTCTTGGTAGATTAAACGTTTTATTTCTCTCCGCCTTCTATCCTTTTCTATTACGTGTTTCCTTTTTTGTCCTTTTTTTTAGTAGGTTTTGGTTGCCTACTTGATATTACTAATATGTTTAATGCATTTCTCCTCTTTGTTGAAGCTTTTAGTACATTTGATTATAGTTGTTGGGTTGTGTATTTCGGGTACACTTTCCACACTTTTATATTTATCTATGTACTAGTTTAGTCTCATCAGGTAATGTTGCAAATTTTTTTCACAGTCCCAGGTGTTTGCGGTGTTGGTCACACAAATCATATGGCAAACAAGCATACTACTGCCACATGCAATCCAAACCATAGAACCGGGGTGGAAGAATCAATTTTCATACAACAAAAACATCTCATCTCTCTGAATAATTACTTACATCAAGATACAGCTGGTCAGTCCGGAAGCATTTTGAACCCAAATGCCGTGTCAACTGGGCTTAAACTTTCTTATGAGGAGGAAGAGCACAATTCATCTGTAACTTCTGCAAGTGAAAACTTGCAAGCTGTCCTTCCTGTTATTTCTTCTCTCAGTGATAATCTGAAGATTGAGTTTGATCGGCAGAGAGAAGAATTTGACCATTACATCAAAGTTCAGGTAATTAACGTTATACTGCAAACCAATTTGTGGTGCCATTTCCATGTGGGTCATTCTACCACTTTTTGAATACTGTAGAGAAAGAAGAAATGTTTGAATGCATGCGATATTTCATGCCATGTACAAACATATGTGTATCTTGGATTAATCTATAGTTCGGTAAGAGTGGCGCTCGTAAGTTTAACCAGCTTCTCAAGCTTGGATTGTCATTCATCCAACCTCTTTTTACTTAATACTAGCATGTGAAGCATTTCATCACAATGTTACTTGGGTTTTGATACAGGGTATGCTTTTGTGAACTGGATATGTATAAATGATTAATTGAGTAAGATTTATGACCACTTCTGGTACTGAAATATTTCAATTTTCAGGAAGAGAAGGTCCTCAAGGGTGTAACGGAACTGAGGCAAAGACAAACCGTTTCTTTCCTTAATGCCATTGAGAAAGGGGTTAACAGGAAGTTGAACGAAAAAGAAATTGAACTCGAGAACATGAAGTGCAAGAACAAGGAGCTAATAGAGAGGATAAAGCAGGTCAGTGTGGAAGTTCAGTCTTGGCATTACAAAACAAAGTACAATGAGTCGGTGGTCACTTTCTTGAAAAGCAATCTACAGCAGGTCATGGCACAAGGTGCCATACATGGAAAGGAAGGCTGTGGGGACAGCGAGGTTGACGACGCAGCCTCTTACACCAATGCAAACCGCCTCAGCATAATAGATGTTCCTGGAAGTTCCGTCTTTACAAAGAAGCCGATAAATTGCAGGGCTTGTAAGGTTAGAGAAGTCTCAGTCTTGTTGTTACCTTGTAGGCACCTCTGTCTGTGTAAAGATTGTGAAGGTTTTATAGATATATGCCCTGTGTGCAGCGTAATGAAGACTGCAACTGTTCAAGTGTACATGTCTTGAGGTTTTAATGGTAAAGACATATATATTTCGACGCACTTGTAATTGTCTTCTCAAAGTTGTATGAATTTACCTAATTTATGATGTTATGATAATTTGGTTCACTTTCATGATTTGCAAAATCGTTCTGGGCTGGTGATACATCGCTGTTCCTCCATTTCTTTCAGTGGGAAATTATTATGAGTGCTTCATTTTTAATGTTATCTTTGCAAATTTCCCTTTATTGTTCTTCTTTTTCTTTTGTCTCTTTATAGGTATCAAATATATATGAATATTCTTCTGTTCTGGAATTTTAAAAAATTGGCGCATCTGATGAAAATGACTCTTTTATGCATTTATAGACCAACCACTCCCGACAGAGATTAGGAGGAAAAGTGGGAATGAAGATAAGGCAAGCAAATGCAATTGCTTTTTGTGCTTGTGAAGTTTTGATAGTGATGTAGTGGACAAGCCTTTTGTTCTAATTTTCTCATTGAATTTAATAATACAAAAGGTTATCAATGCTCATTGGTTTAAATGCAAGAAAGGTTTTCACCATCTTTATCAATAGAGTATATTAGTTGAGTGGAATTAGAGTTAATCTCGTCACTTAGAAAGTCCAAAGCTAGTTCATTTTGTAATACATAGTTCTTTTAAGGGGTGCTCTTAGGCTTAGCATAATGAATCAATGATAGCATTCCTTGTAGTAGTATTTGGAGACCATTATTGGACCAGATGGCAGAATTCACTACCATGGCATCCAATTAATCTAGAATTTTAATTTGATTCCTAACAATTTCTAGCCAAATCAATTTTTTTTTTACCTACCCAATTTCACTTTAAACGGAGCTTGGATGAAAATTACCTGCGACAGAAATGATCAGAGGATTAATCAATAATTAGGAATTCTTGATTTTTTTTTTTTTTTTTTTTTTTTTGGGTGCGTAAAGAGGAATTCTCAAATGCCGGTCGTTGCAAATGACTTTTCCCCAAAAATAAAGACCCAATAAAAATCCAAGTCAAGTCCAATTTGCATTTCTCTACCTTCCAATTCTACACCAAAAACGTCCATTGCTGTACCCCACCTGGTTATTCTTTAACCGGGCGAAATTCTAATATAATTCTCACATGAAAAAAAAAAAGATTAAACAAAAAAGGCATGCTTGCTTTACCTACCAAATATCACGTTTGAATCTTTTGATTGAAAACAAAGGTAAAAAAATAAGAAAATTATGCAATAAAGTATGAAAAGCTACACCCTCAAAAGGATTAAAAAAAAAGAAAAGATACTTAATGCAAACATGACAGTTTTTAATTTAAAATTTATTTAAACTTCTGTTATGCAGAGTCAAATTAGTGTGTTAATGTAGCATTTTAAAAAGTATTATGTATTGAAGTATAAAATAAATTAACTTGCTATATATATCATTTCATATTTTTAAGGACCAAATATGGTGTTAACATTGACAATACAAATGCGATGACCATATTATATTCTTTTAAAGGAAATAATTATTTTTTAAGGGAGAGAGTGTAACAAGTATTTTTTTTTAAATACTATTGTACTTAAACGTAATTTTATTAATGGGTAATTAAGTAAAAAAAATTTCATTAAAAAAAGTGGGCGAAGCGCTCTAAAAATATTAGATAAAGATTTTTATTAAAAAATAAAAATACCTGGAACGTAAAAGGAAATAAATAAGTTTAAAGGAAATACAGAATATCCAACATATTTCAAAAAAAAAAAAAACAAAAAAAAAGAAAAGAAAAAAAAATAGAATATCCAAAATATCAGATTCCTCTATTGACCCCTTAAATTTTGATAAATGATATTTTAATATGACATTTTGAACTTTTTAGAGCCATCGTTACACAATACGGCTGCTAACAGCTTACCTACTGTCTCTCACCAAATTCAGCCAACGAACCATCCAAAAACCAGCCTCTCCTCTCTGACGGACTCTCCGAGGCCGTCTCTCTCTCTCTCTCTCCCCTTAATACTCCATCTGCGATCTTCGGATTTCTCAGATCTCAGCCTCCAGACCTCGAAGATGTTGCAGAGTTCAGCCTTCGCTCTCTCTGCTCAATCTCTGCTTCCATTGAAGCCTTGGAGAGCGTCGAACCCCAGCTTCGATCCGATACGCCTCTCTTCTTCTTCTGCCGCTTCGCCAAAGCGTCGCGATCTCAACAATGTCACGGTCTCTGCGCCGTTCAAGCTCAGGCCGTGGAGCTCCGTGCCTCTTGCGACCTCCGGCGACGAGGCGAATCGCTTTGAGGCTAGGGCGACTTCGGTGCCGGAGAGCGCCGGCGAGGGCGTCGAGTCCAGCAGGTTGGGGAAGACGCTCGTGCTTGGTTTGTTGTTCGGCCTCTGGTACCTCTTCAACATCTACTTCAATATCTATAACAAGCAGGTACCATTTTCGCACTTTTGCTCAAATTTATGTATAATCAATGTTGCTAATTCTCTAAGCGAAATGAAGATATATAGTCTCTGAGATCTATACTTGTGATAATATTTACTTCTCCTGATCTAAGCTAGAGAAAGAAAAGGAGAAAGAGAATAGTATGTAATACTTCTTGGTTGCAGGTCTTGAAGGTGTACCAGTTCCCAGTAACCGTCACTTTAGTTCAATTTGCCGTTGGTACTGTTCTCGTCCTTCTAATGTGGGGTTTAAATCTCTACAAAAAACCGAAAGTTAGTGGTGCGCAGGTATGTATTACGTTGCTGAAATCGTTTTCTCTGATATATTTGTCATCGATTTGGTCAAATTGATCCTTACACTGAGTGAATTATTGACAGCTCTTAGCAATTTTACCCCTGGCCTTGGTCCACACTTTGGGGAACCTATTTACTAACATGAGTCTTGGTAAAGTCGCTGTGTCATTCACTCATACAATCAAAGCTTTGGAGCCGTTCTTCTCAGTTGTCCTCTCCGCTATGTTCCTTGGGGAGGTGAGTTTTATATACTCTTTTTTGTCCTTGAATATCAGTTTGGATATCCTAAAATGTGTTTGGATTTTGATAAAATTGTGTTACTGCAATTGTTTATAATCAGGATATGCTAGATTTTAATGATTTAAACACAATCTAAATAAGATCAAAAACAATAATCTAGCCAAAAATCTAAAAATACCATATAAATTTATTGGGATTTAGGCATACAGAATGTTACCTCTCGGCAACGGAGACAAGCCGTTATGATCGCCAGAAAACATCAATGGGCGGCCGGCCGGAGTGGAGGACCTACAAAAGTGCAAAAGGAGGGCAAGAGGAGCATGAACTCCTCCCTGTCTCTCCCTCTCTGTGTTCGTTCGGCCACAACCCTAAAGCCACGCACACCCCCACGAGCACACCCACAAAAAATAAAAGGGTGGCTTATTATATAACCAGATAGGCCTAAGGGCTTTAAGCAATATTCAATAGAGAGGGTATTTGGTCCAACAGGCTGACCAAATATTATGAGATAGAGGGAGTTCATATACCTCAAGTGAGTTAATAAACAATTGTCCATCCCATAATGGACCGATATTTAGCAGACATGCATGTGTTAATTTACATTAACACAGTTGTCCATAAGATGTTTTAATTAATTACAGAATGAATTATTATGATTCCATCCACATAAAAATATTCCAACAGTCTCTTACTTGGACGACATAATCATACAACAAACATTCACTCATTACATCATAAGCATCAACTAAGAATCTTACATAACAAACACAAGCCCAAAACAATCATGCATAATAACGTATCGATAGGATACAATCATTATACATAATCAGACGCTAGAGATTCATTGAAGCATGACGACAACTTTAATATATGGATAAAAAACAATGATAGAGACTAACATCCAGATGTCTCTTTTCAACTCGTCACTTTGTCAACTAAAAATTGTGTCAACACAACATCACACATAAAGTGATAGATCCATGAATACGCATGTATAATTTGAGGCATAAGCAATCCTTATTAATAACAACATGTCACACATAAATGGCAGTGAACTCCCACTAACTCAATATAACTACAGGCTCCTTACAGTCCCGAGTGGGATGCGTGTTCTTAAAACACGTAATAGGTAAGCCTTTAGTGAAACTGCCAACATGTTGTTTATAAGCGTGTTTTCAATAACAATGAGTTATTTTTACAATTTCTCTTTACAAAATAGAACACACTATCATTATGCTTGAGCGGACAATGCTCCTGGTGTTCTAAGAGAAATATACTATTATAAACCTTTCACAACACAGTTTCATCCGGTCTAGAAATGGAGTGAACTTCTCCTAATGTTGAAACAATATTCCACAATTACATCACACAAATAGCCTCACGATACGCCACATACTCCGCATCACAGTCAAGGACGCTATGAGTGTCTATTTGACACTTTTCAACAAAGTAGCTCCTCCTTTTATCATTTATGCAGCCTGATTAATCGACATCACGAGATCCAACCACAACAAAAGTGTTGGTTTGCCGATACACAACTATATGGTATTTCATTCCCAGTTAATTCAGTAATAATAACAACAATCACTCAAGTACCGAATCTGCACGTCAACAACAAACACAATAATAAGACGTGTACATACTTGAGCATACATCAGGCTGCTACACACGTAAGCATAAGGGCCAACTTTAGCTGATCTCTCTTACTTTACCATAAGGACATTACACCTTTGAGAGTTTGTCACTTTAACAAACAATGCTTACTAGGAGAACAAGAATGCATATTGAACCTGTTCGAAACAAGATTAATATAGATTTTCTGAGACGACCAGAAAATGCACTTATCCTTGTCACGAAAAATCTACATGCCTAGAACATAAGAGGTTTTTTCAAGATTCTCAAACCAAAGTGACTAGGCGACATACTATTCGTCTCAACCAACAAGTCAATCATTAGGCGCGAGCAAGTTGTCACTAACATGAAAATAGAAACATGCAACTGCTCCCGCTGACCTTACACATATGCATTTATCAACAATGTTCTCCATAAAACTAATTTTAGTGATTGTCTCATCCTAAAATTAAGACACTACTGCCTCGGTGTTATCCATACACTCTCACTCATCATAGAGTTTTTCAACCAATTAGTGGAGTTAGGAAACACATCTACTCTCAAGGCTATGTCAGTTATAACACCACGAATTCATAAAGAGAGATCCACACTATTAATGATAACTTGTCCCATTTAGCGTCAAAATAGCGAAGATACAAGGATTGCTCAAGGCTAAAGAAAACAACAGGGGCAATGAACAATAGGCATGTAAAACAAGATCATGCAATTTGCCCTTTACTTAGCCTTCCCAATGATCCAAGCCAATATGATCATTGTGTGCTAGAGTCCCTTGAGCAAGAATAGAACTCTTTCGCAGGTAAGGACAATTCATCAAACATCACAACCAAATACATCAATCCACCACCGATAGGGTAGTAAAGATTATGCGGTTCATGACATCCAACAAACTTCCTTCACCGGTCTAAGCATCCTACGAAACAATTAATTATCGATAGGATAATTTAATTGCCCGTATGGATCTTAGTAATGTGGTAAATACATACATTTATCCTTAACACTCCAATATATTATTTGATCATAATATGAGTTTAGTGATTATGTAAGTCCACACATAATTATTCACAATATTCTCCCACTTAGACTGCATAATCAATGACGACATTACTCATATAATACAAAATGTCAAATAATAATATGTAAGCAAAAATTGATGGATAAAGACAACAAGCTTAAACTCCAACAAGACTCAAGCGTCCTACCAAGCAATAAAACTATCGATAGGATAATTTCATTACCTGTATGGACTTTCGGAACATAAACAACAAATTAAGTTTATCCATATAATCCCACAATTTATTATTTGATACTAGTATGTGAGTTAGTGATTATGCTAATCCACAAAAAAAATGTTTCTAATTTTCTCCCATTTGGATAGCTAATTAAAAAACATGATACTCACATACTACAAGATATCAAATAATAATGATAACAATAATAAATAAGTTACGGATAAACTTATAGCTTAAGCTTTATAATAGCACATGAGCTTCTAATTAAAATTTTCATTCTCACTTTAACACAAAAGAGACCATATATGCCTATACAAATAATTAGGCATTAAAACGTTGAACACAAAATGGACATTTCAAAATTTGAACAAACATCCATATTATATTATATGTCTAAATTTTATTTACCAAAATATCAAATTAAGTGGGAAAACAAATAAAATATGACCATATAATATGGAGTAACAAACATGCCCTAAAATTTTAAGTCTCAAAATAGTGAGAATTAAAACTACCCAGAAAATATATGAAAATTATTAAAATAAAAATATTTTATAGTAGCTCATGTGCATCCATGTAAGGAGTGTGTTCATCCCAATGTCCTTTTTTAAAAGGAAATGTTAAATTTTATGGGAGAGCTCTGTAACATAATAATCGAGACAATTTGACATGTTTAGACTCACAAGAGGCGAGTACATAAACATTTACTATTGTCGAATTCTCACAATTACATATGCCATACAATAATAACAACATAATATAAATTTTATGGCGTCAATCATCAAACAAATTGTATACGAAATGCCTAGGAAAAATTTGTTTAAAAATTGTGAGAATTAGCCACCCATAAAAATATTCAATCAATAATATAAAAATATTAAAAACATGATTTTATGGTGGCTCAAACCCAAAATAAATCATTTAATTGGGTAGGAAATGAAAAACGGAGCGCAACGGCGAAAATGGCGGTCAAAACGGACTTCGGATGTGTTCGTACGGACCGGTCAAAGTTTGATCACAAATTTTTTTTTTGTCCACATAAACGGCACGTCGTTTTAATCATACTGAAAAACAACGTCATTTATGTCAAAACGACACAAAACTTAACTTATCAAACGACATGTCGTTTTTGACCCAAAATCAAAACGCAGTTTCGTTTTTATCGTCCCTAACCTCCAGCTAGATAAAAAGTGACCCGAATGGACCCGCGACCCGACCCGGCAATATCTTGGCCTTCGGAACTCCGTTTTCGACGATTCAAAAGGGGTTTTTCTCAAGATTTCGTCCTCTTTTGATCCATAACATCAAAATGACCTAAAACCCTCAAAATCATGGGCGAAAATTAAAACCCAAAAACCGGCCATTTTCAAACTTTGAAACATAAAATCTGGCTAAATCGACCCACGAAACTCAAGAAAATCATCACCCATAAGCTATACTCGAAGTGGGTAACCTCAAAACAACGTTTTCTTCAGCTAAAACGGATTTAAATTTTGGATTTTTTTTCGCAAAAACGACATGTCGTTTTGGGGCATGTGGGAAACAACATGTCGTTTCACTAGCAGGATAGCCCCAGTGAACTTTGCAAACGACATGTCGTTTTGGGGCATATAGAGACGACATGTCGTTTCACTAGCAGGATAGCCCCAGTGAACTTTGCAAACGACATGTCGTTTTGGGGCATATAGAGATGACATGTCGTTTCACTATCGAGATAGCCCAGAACTTTGCAAACAACATGTCGTTTTTCACATGGATGGAAAAACGACATGTCGTTTTGATCTTCCCTGAGCTCTGTAAATCAGACCCGGTCGGATCTGTGACCCGATCCGCTGGAAAACTGAGCTCCGGTGGTCCATTTTTGACGTTTTTAGATGGGTTTTGCTCCAAATTTCATTCTCTTTGGTTTTCAAACATCGATTTCACTCAAAAACCCATAAATAGCAAAACCCCCATGAAATGCACGAACGTGCACAGCAAGCTCAAGAAAACGAAAAAAAAACTGCAGCCTCAAATCCAATAAGATAGGCTCTGATAGCATTTGCTAGATTTAAATGATCTAAACACAATCTAAATAAGATTAAAAACAATAATCTAGCCAAAAATCTGAAAATACCATATAAACTTATTGGGATTTAGGCATACAGAATGTTACCTCTCGGCAACAGAGACAAGTTGTTATGGTCGCCGGAAAACATCAATGGGCGGCCGGCCGGAGTGGAGGACCTGCAAAAGTGCAAAAGGAGGGCAAGAGGAGCATGAACTCCTCCCTGTCTCTCCCTCTCTGTGTTTGTTCGGGCACAACCCTAAAGCCACGCACATCCCCACAAGCACACCCACCAAAAAACAAAAGGGTGGCTTATTATATAACCAGATAGGCCTAAGGGCTTTAAGCAATATTCAATAGAGAGGGTATTTGATCCAATGGGTTGACCAAATATTAGGAGATAGAGGGAGTTCATATACCTCAAGTGAGTTAATAAAACAAGTGTCAATCCCATAATAGACCGATATTTAACATATATGCATGTGTTAATTCACATTAACACAATTATCCATAAGATGCTTTAATTAATTACATAGTGAATTATTATGATTATGGAAGTCCACATAAAAATATTCCAACTAGATATGGAGCTGAATAATTTCCATTTTTTCTTTGAATTCTTTAAGTTTCATTAATTATTTTATCTACTGGTGGTTTTTGCATGACTATATTTTTTTTATCACAAGCATTCACTGATAGAGTATAATTGAGAATTTCATGATTTTGATGCACAATTTTTTTTCTAAGTACACATTTCCGGCTTCTATTTTTGTATATTCAGTTGCCTACTCTTTGGGTGGTTGCTTCCTTGGTACCGATTGTTGGTGGAGTGGCATTGGCTTCGGTCACTGAGGCCTCTTTTAATTGGTAAGAGATAAGTTATTTATCTAGTTAATTTTCCAGAGAGAGAAGCTAGAGCATGTTGTTTTGATACACGAATTGTTTATTACAAATTCTGATATAAGAAATTATTTTTCTTAATAAATATTTGGAAAGGGCTGGATTTTGGAGTGCAATGGCTTCCAATGTGTCAAATCAGTCTCGTAATGTCCTTAGCAAGAAGGTCATGGTTAATAAAGAGGTAATACACTCTTCAGAGTTCAGATTCATATGTTAAATGACAATATTCTTTATTTTCATAATTTATCTTTTGAATTGGTTCTCAGACTAGTACTCTGTGTTCAACAGGAGGCCATTGACAACGTTACTCTCTTCTCAATAATTACTGTTATGTCGTTTCTCCTGTTAGCCCCTGTGACTTTATTCATGGATGGTGTCAAGTTTACACCAGCTTACATACAATCTGCTGTGAGTATTTAACTAGATCTAAAAGTCTCTTCCTTTTCTTTTTCCTTCCAAATGAAATGCACCTAAAAGAGACAATATTATTATTATATAGGAAGAAAGTTTTACAATGAACCAGGACATAGAACCAAAATCTGGAGAATTTACAGTAGGATAATTCTAACAACTCCCTATCATTAAAAGGCCATGAGATCTACCCATCTAGCAAATTTCACCGCAATTTATTCCTATACTTGAGCTGAAAGTCTTTTCAAGCCCTGCTGTGACTAGACTTTAATTTATTTATGGTTATGTACCCAACTTTCTTATTTGCGTGTCATCATATCACAGGGATTGAACGTTCAGCAAATATACTTGAGATCGCTTGTTGCTGCTCTCTGCTTCCATGCTTATCAGCAGGTAAGGCTTTTAGTAGTATTGAGAGGATGTTTGATAAGAGAGAAAAGAGGAGGGAATGGGTCTCTCCAAATAAGAGAAAGGTCCTCTCCTTCCTCTCTCTTTTCCTCATCTAGGCCTGTCTTTCTTTACCATTTTCTTTCCCTTTTACCAAAAATAGCATAAATATTTTATAATTGTGGGCCAGTGGCTTTGCTTGAGCTCTGCTTTTGACCCTCGTCCTCAAGATATTTGTGTTCGTGAAAATATGTTCAATAATCAGTATACCTTGTATGATTAGAGTAATCAGAAATGTTTGTGTTCAAGTCTATCACTGGATAATATTAGAAGCTTGTGCATTTCTGATTCCAGTTTTCTTTCTTTTTCCCCTCTTTAATGATTAATTTGTCAAGAAAAGTGAGGATTAAGTAAAACGCAAAAACTGGTAGAATATTTAATGTTTTCGTCTCTTTTTGAGCTTTTGAACATTCTTGGATTAACTTATTCTTTTTTTTTTTTTTTTTTGACAAACTTTATTTTGGACCATATGATGACAATACTTCCACTTAATGGGTTTAACCATGCAGGTATCATATATGATTTTGGCGAGGGTATCACCTGTTACTCACTCTGTAGGCAACTGTGTGAAGCGGGTGGTGGTCATCGTGAGCTCTGTGATTTTCTTCCAAACAACCGTTACCCTCATCAACTCCCTTGGTAAATCACTTCTTTTTTATGCTCTGTGAGAACATTTTAGAATCAAACTTCAGAGACTTGAACATTAACGCTTTCCAAAATTCAATCCATTTCAGGAACTGGGATGGCGCTTGCCGGAGTTTTTCTCTACTCGAGGGTGAAGGGTATTAAGCCAAAGGCGAAGACCGCTTGAAAGCCAAGCCTTAAGAAGCAATTTTGCTGCAGAAAGTTGTTAGATGAAGAAATTCTAGAATCTAGATCGATGCGTTCAATATATTGTTTGTAGATCAGGCAAGGGAACTGAGTTGTTTGGTTTACCTTCTTGCCTTTTTGTTGTTATTGTTTTTGTTCTCTTACTGCTTATCCAGCGGGACATTTTATTCTTTTGATGACTGGGGAGTCAACATACGGAAGAATTTTGTGCTCTACTTTCTAGCTGCGTAAAAGCCCGCTTCTCTGGTTCATCATTCGAATGTAATATGTAGTCTAATTCCCAAAATATTGTTTCTTTTCTTCTTTTTTCTTTTTTCTTTTTTGGATGTGCTTGGAAGAACTTTCAAAAATCTGGCCAACGCCATTGCCTGCAAAATCACTCCCGTTCGCTTCACTTGTTAGAGTTGAGAATTTGAATTGAAAAATAAACTTTATCTCTTTTATTCTTTTTTTCTAAAGTAAAAATTGTCGGGGTATTTTTGTTTTGGCCAAAAAATTAGTGGCAGAAAATTGGATTATGGAGAAAAAGCACGTACCAATCCTCAAGATATTAGATGCTCTTTTCTTTTTGTCCTTCTTTCATTGAGCTCTTTACACATGGGAGAATGGTGAAGTCGAAAAATAGCAAAAAGTTTTTTTTTTTGAAAATTTAGGAATAACAAAATTCGATATCATTAAAATAATGATCACGTAGTTATATAGTACAAAATTTGACATTATTTTATAATTACATGTAATTTTTTGCTATTTTTATAGTATTTTGAAAATTTTGTTAAAATTAAACTTTAAGGTATGTAATTTTGATATGTAGCGTATTCATCTCCTTTTCTTTTCTGGTGTTGATTTGCCCCTAATGGCAAAGCAGCTTGCCCAATCGCGTACATTTCTAGGCCGTAGCTGAAGAGTATGGTATCTTACATATGTAAATAGAGTATCAAACCAGCTGCAGTATACGTTTATTTGCTTATCATAACAACTTTATTTTATTTTATTTTTTCATAGCCATCATATTTCAAGACTCCAGGAATAGTAAGTACTAAGTAGTAATATTAAAAAAAAAAAAAAACTTTTAAGTTGAATTCATTTTCTATATTCTATGGCACGTCTTTCCTCCGAATTGCTCAAGAAATGGCTACGCATTGACCCCATTCACTTGGGAGATCATCTCCACCAAATCCATCTCCTTCTTCACCACTTCATCACCCTCCATCACTCGATGATGGGTATTATCCCCTGCGGACAGGTCCACAACAACTCCTTTCTTATCATCATGAGCACCAAAAGGATCACAAGTCATCATCTCATCAAGAAGAGAATCAATAGTACCATAGCGGTCTTGGAAGATCATCATGTTCTTGTCAAAGCAAGAAACCGGGTCCTCATCGAAATCATCGTAACTTCGAACTTCCAAGGTTGGAGGCTGATCATCATGATGAATTGGTGACTTGATGGAGTTTGTTGTCGTCGTTCCATTGTCGTCGTTGGCATTAACAGCAGAAGTGTTTCTCTGATATTGTCTTGTACTACTTGACGAGCCCAAGTTTAAGCTTTTGATGTAATCTTGAAGAAGAGATCCTCCAGGGCACTTGGAGCGACATTTTCGCTTGGAGAATTGTCTTCTTTTTGTAGCGTTCCAGTGATTTTTGATGGAGTTCTCAGTCCTCCCAGGCAATTTCTTCGCAATCTCTGCCCACTTGTTTCCTATTTCTGCATGAGCTTCAATCAGGATCTTGTCTTCCTCCTCACTCCATGTATCTTTCTGTAACATATATACATATTTTGCATGACATTATGTGCGGACAAATTGTTCAATATATATATACATATATATATATATATATATCACATCTAGTCACGATGATCACCGTTACATACATCATATACATACATACAGACGCTATTATATAGTTTTTCAAGTAAAACAATCATGAAATTAACATGTCAATTTGTCGAAAAAAATAAAAAAATTAATATGAAAAATTGCAAATATTGTTTGAAAATTAGTATAATGATGATCACTAATGGTGGAACGTATTGTCGCTACCATTTCTGCAATGCTAACACATTATAGTGCAATGCTAATTAACACGTTATAATGCATAAAAGTAGAACTAAGGTTTCACCCAGTAAAATATTATATGTAAAGAAAAAATTGTTGAATATATATCACCATCTAGTCATGATGATCACTATTATATACATGCACATTGGACTAGTAATATATTTTTCCAAATAATCAAGAAATTAATATGTTAATTGCCTTTCCATGAACTTCATTTTCTTTTCTTTTTGGTAATAAATTTGAGAGAAGAGTCCACTTATTTGATGCTCCTTTAATTAGTTAAAAAAAATATAATTAACATTGTGAAACTGCGCAATTATTCGAAAATTAGTATATATATTAACGATCCCTAATGGTGACAGTAACATATTGTAGCTACCATGCATGCATACTACACATTATAGTACATAAAATTGGAACTAGGGTTTAACCAAAGTAAAATATTAATAAGTAAAGAAAACTATAAAACCTTGATATCAGGCCTAAGGTGATTATGCCATCTCTCTCTACACTGCTTGCCAATCCTTCCAGGCAACATTTGAGCAATGTGGGACCATTTTCTCACTCCATATTCTCCTACCAGTTGGATCAAAAGCCTGCAGTTTTTATACACATGCATGCATGAGCAAGATTATATATTGATCAGAAAATGTTATATATTATATAAACATACAAATACATAACATAATATTATCAAAATTACAAGAAGGGAAAATGCTAACGTTAAACACTACCTATCTTCTTCTCCTGTCCACTGGCCTTTGACCGGATTAATCTTCTTGTGGCCTTTGAATGCCCTCCTTTTGGCTAAAGAATTATTCCTGTTCTTGCCTGTGACATGAACATTCTTGTAATAACCATTTTCTGCAGTTATGCATGAAGTTTCATCTGGTACGACAAAGTTCGAAGGCTTCGTTATCTCCTGGCGGTTTAACGGTAAGAAATTACTTAAATCAAAACCATTAATCCTCAGGTATTGATCTCCACTGAGGAAATTATTTTTTGTGACTTGGCCAAATGGATTGTAGTACTCATGATGAAAGCCATTGAGGTTCATAAAACTTACGCAAGAGAAAGTTTCAAAGGGTTCAATTGATGGGGTTTGGGGCAAAAAAATTGGATTTGAGGAAGACCCATTAACAAGATCATAATGAAAGTGATCAAGATGGTGAAAATCTTGAAGATAATTACCCTGTGGTGAAGAAGCCTCAATGGGAATAAGGGCATTTTTCATAAAGGGTTCTGTATAGTTCTCACATATTGAAAGTGATGGATGGTAGACATTATTGTTTTCCTTTACAAGCTCGGTTTCAAGCTCCATGAGATGGAGAGTGAAAGAAATAGTTAAGAAAATGGAATAAAGCTTTTTCAATCGGAATTATCACCTTTTCTGTTTCTTGCTTAATAAGTAAGGACGTGAAGGTTTTATTTTTATTTTTATTTTTCATTTTTATTTAGTTTTTATCGTGGGGGTTAGATAGAAAGATTGATCATCACCATTAATTCTGAATCATCTAATGGTCAAGGTTGCTTAGAAGAGCAAAGACTGTTGGACTATTAAGACTTAAATTCTTTTTTTGACCAACCTTTATTTTTCTGTTGGTTTTATTTATTGGTCTCATTGCAGCTGCAATTAAAATGATCATTAAAAGTTTCAAGAAATAGAAATGCCGTTATGCTATTTTCCATCCTTTAAATTTGGTCAAAGAAGTCCATTTTTTTTAAAGAAAAGATTTTTTTGCAGAATATAGCTCACAAATTTTCTGAGGCTTTTGAAACTTTATATCATATAGATTACAATGCAACAATGTAACTGATTCATATTGGTGCTTCTTATGCTCATGTACTTTCTCCCCCCCAAAAAAAGAAGATATGTGAATGATCTTATAACTTTCGACTTAACATCGATAATTTGGATAATTATTTAATAGAATTGATTATTTTCTTCATTAGCTTTAACGTCAGATTTATCAGGTTAGTCATTAAGAATATAGTTAATGGTACATTTGGTCGTAATATAATGAAAATAACACATTGGCAAAAAAAAAAAAAAAAAAAAAAAAAACCTAAAAAGTGTAAATTTGTTAAATTACTCACAGCTAGTTACTACTAAATGTTGGGGAAACGCACATCAAGCATTCAAACTGTTCTTAATTGCATTAAACTAGCAAGAGAAAAGCTTCAAATATGTTTCACTTTCACCATCTTAAGATATTAAGCAGCTAGTTAATAAAGATTTTTATTATATTTAATCCTCAACATTACAAATCCAAGTAATCTACCATGTTCTTTCCACAATTTGAATTACAACTCAAACTTTTTACTACAGTATTTTTTCTAAAAAAAAAATTAAATTTAACTCTTTTACTACATAATTTTCTCTCCCATAAATTCACTTTTCAGCTCAAATTCTTAATTCAAAAAAAAAAAAATCAAATTCAACTCCTTTACTATAAAGTTTTTTCTCCAATAAATTCACTTTTCAACTCAAATTCTGAATTCGAACCCACGAAAAGAATGGGCTTGGCCAAATTGTTAATTAGAAAGTGTGCAAGGTGAAAATACCTTGGTGAAATTATGATATTCTTTTGAAGTTGATGAATTTTAATCAAATTAATAATTATATAAAATAGGAGATTTATAAAAATATGGGGGTTTAGTTAGGAAAATGGGAGATCGAACTAAGTATATGTAATCTAATCGCTATAAGGCTATCTTTGCAGATGTTTTTATGAATAGTTGGTTTTTATTATAGGGGTAAGACATGTATATGTGATATTAGATATTGACTAGGTATAAATGAACTAGAGATATATCTAAGTTGCCCTACTATTGTGAGTTTATATAGGGATTCCAAAGAAATTGATGAGCTTCCCTTTATCCTTAGTTCAAAGAAGCTAATCTGGTTATCGAGACAGAAGCAAGTGCAGCAAGAACTGAATCAAGGAATATTATATAGAAAATATAGGTTCTTGACAATTATTTTTTCTCTATTTTCACAATGTTTAATGAGTTGTAATATCAATGCCACTTGGTTAAACTCAAGTGGTTGGGTGCGTGAGTATGTACTAGTGTCCACCATAATTCGAATCTTAAGGGTTTCATTTCTTCGTAAAATGGGAGTTATAGGCCCCATATTTTATATTTAAAAAAAAAGTTGTAATGTCAAATCCTTTCCCCCGTTCAATAGTAAATAGCAACATGTTATTCATAAACTAAATAACTTGAGATACTAGATATACAATACAAAAACTACTTGGTGTTTGTTTGATTGGAGGATTTAAACTATCATCGTTTCAGTTCAAATAATGCTCTTTCTCATAAAAAATTTAAAATTAAAAAGTACGTTCTGATACCGTACATTCTCTCATAAAATTTAAAATTTGGTTTGAACCCACCTTTTAAACGGTCTCTGAATTTCAAAGACAAATATTTATAATTGCATTTGGCTACAAAAAAAACTACAGTATTTAGTACTCCACTAGTTTTTGTTAATTGTTCACTTATACAGCATCATGTTTTTTCTCACTAATGGCATTGCAAATACTGACTGACTACACCAAATCAAAGTGAGGCCTCCACAAATGAGCGGGCAATACAAGAAGATTCACCAAATAGAGGCTTTACATAGAGTTGTTCATCACACTATTTTCGTTGGGAAAAGCTCGATTTTCGTTGACCAGCTATCGGGAATCATTACGCAGTTGGGAATCACCATGAACCTCAAATACTGATTTGCCCCAAAACAGGCCTAATTCATCAGGGATGTTGTGTTGGTTTTGACCTGGTTGGTCGAGTTCGGGTTACAATGAGTCTGGGTTGGGTGGATTAATTAGGCTCATCAGGTTATCGAATTTTTTTTTTCTCACCCTTAGTTTCCACATAGGGAGCGATAATGAAGATTCGATACCTGTAAAAAAAAAAAAAAAGGCATTTTATTTATTAGATCATTGTTGTAAGAAAATTCACTACCCATTAATGAAATTTTCAAGTTTATGATCTAACTAAACCTAACAATTGCTGTTCTGTTTATGCGAATATGTGTGCCACAAAGAATACCAATTTCAAGTATAAGAGAAAATTTAAAATGTATCCATTAAGTGACAAGTTGAATCATGTTTGATATAAAAATAGTGTCCCAAAAGATTAACTAAGGAACAAACAAAAATTAAGGAAAATAAGGATTCTTCTATAAATTCATATATATTCCATAGAAACTAGTTAAAAGAAATCATTAAAGAAAGAAAAAATATGTTAAATTTTTTAGGAGTACCCTTTTCATAACAAAACAACTTACTTGTATATTTGAGAGTTGTTTTAGTAAATAACTACAAATTATGAGATTTTCAGCAGTGAAAACCAAAATTTTACCTGATGAGCTAGCGAACTCGTACAGTCATTATTTTTCCCATGCCATCCATTTTTAGTTCGCATATTGATGGATTCTCTAACAATTTTAACCTTCCTTTAAGCTCTGAAATACTACCCATTTTGAAAATCAATTTGAAAACAAGACAACTCTTCTCTAGCATCTTGCTCTGGGAATTTGGACACGATGAAATAAATTATCAATGAATAGAAAAAAAACTTAATGCAACTTTTTTTTTGACGCATTTGCCTTGAGAAAATGTAGTATTTATAGAGAACGTGGACGATGAAATCGATGATGCAATTAGAAAGTTGAGATCTAAGAGAATCTCCGTTCATTTCACCGATTCGAGTGTAGAATTCGAGTTTTGCTACAGTACAAAACTCTCAGAAACAGTCACATCTAACTTTTTTGCTACAATAAAAAGTTCTTACATAAAGTCACATCTCAACTCGAATTAAAAACTCGAATCAACGAAGTAAACGGGCCTTTAATTATTTTGTGAGATTTACAATGGGTCAATCACAAACACGTGGCAAAAATTATAAATGAATTAGGATTATGTTGTGTGATTTTATAGAATATTTTGATGTGGTTGGTAAACATTTTGCATAATATTTGTTTGATGATACCGAATGATAAAATCTTATAATTTGAAAAATCTTTTGAGAGAATCTCAGTTTTTAACTGTTGGATCTGGTCAAAATCATATCAGATTAAAAAAGTATGCAGAACAAAAAGATTTTAATATAGATCTGATGACTGAAAAGTAAAGGATTACCGGTAATCTATTTTTATAGGAACTACTAGAAAAAGTCTCTTAAAATAAATAGGCTAAGGTTTATAATTAGTTAATAAATAAGTCTAATAGGTGAGTCTAGATTTACACTAAATTAGCATTCTAAAAATGCCTCTAATTAAAAAGAAAATGAAATCCTTCAATTTACTATGGCTCTCCCTCCACGCTCTCTCTATCTCCTTGCTCTCTGCACTGTAAATTAAAGATTTACGAATAATTACATTATTGTTCTGATGGTAAATCTTAAATTAACCATATAAATCTATGATTTACGATAGATCAAAAATTTTGTTTTGATGGTAAATCTCGTATTTTTGAATAACACAATATGTTTTCTAATGGTAAATCCTGGATTTACCGTAGGATAAATCTTAGATTTCCAAGCATAACTAAAAAAAAAATGCAGTTTGTCTTAAATAAGTAAAGTTAATAAAATTCAGTAATAGTAAATCCTACATTTATTGTGTAAATCCTAGATTACGAATAAACAAAGTACGTGTTTTGATAATAAATCTTAGATTTATTATGTAAATCATGATTTACAAAAGAACAAAAATTTTGTTTTGATGGTAAATCCTAAATTTACATCGTAAATCTAAGATTTACGAATAACATAATATGTATTCTAATGGTAAATATATCTTGGATTTACTATACGCAGTAAATCTTAGATTTACGAGCACAATTAAAAAAAATGTTTATCTTATATTAGTAACGTTCTAAATTTACCGTGTAAATCTAAGATTTACGAAGGAATTAAAATTTTGTTGTGATGGTAAATTCTAGATTTGCCCTATAAATCCTGTAGGGTTTACGAAGAAACACAATCTGTGTTCTGATAGTAAATCTTACATTTAGTATTTACATTGTAAATCCTAGATTTGCGACTAGTAATGAGAGAGAGAGAGAAGAGCTAGCATACGCACAAGAAGAGAGAAAAGAAGATCTGGAAGGAAAGAGAAAAAAGAAAAGAGTAAAATTAGAAAATGAAAAATTCAAAACATAAAAACGCATATTAATTTTTATATATTGATAATTTAGTTATTTACTAATATAAGTTTTAAATGTAGGCATGTTTTCTACATTTTTCCTTACAAAAACTCTACAAGGAAAGCCTCGAGGAAAAAAAGTTTGATTGATCTGATACTATAAT